CGAGTGGCGAGCATACCAATTCTTGATCCGGACACCGCCGGGCGAGGGATCGAGTCGTGTTCGGAGCGATCTTTTTGGGGGGACCTGCTGAGTAGGTGGTCGGTCAGGTCCACCTCCTCGTCTTGCTGCAAGCCTAGTCAGTTCATTCGGATGCCGGAAAAAAGGGGAATATGGAACTCAGTGTTCGAACCAACGAACACCCGCGTTCGGAGCGCGGGCCCTGCCAACTGAGCCAATGAGGCTGTTGCGCAGATGAAGCTTATCTCCGCGCGCAGTGCCTCACACCCGGAAACACGTGGCCGGCAAAAGGCAAAAGGGGGCCGTCGACGAGACTCGAACCAGCGACTGTTTGCGAACCGGCCCATCACATCAGGTATCGTACGGCTCGGTACGGCTTAAAAGTCGTGGCCAGCGGAGCGCGAAAACTGTCGCTAGGACGGGAACCGAACTTCTGAACCGAACCTCACAAGGCCGGCACGCTACCGACCTAGCCACGAACAACCGCCAGCGAGAATCGCTCCCGGCGACATCCGTATCTCAGCCGTCGCTGACGCCCGAAGACACAGGGCCAGCAGAGCGGGAAAAATGTTCCGCGGACAGTATTCGAACCAGCGACGATCCCAGCGCTCTGCCGACGAACGCGCTTCAGCTCCATCGACTGCCAGCACGCCCTTCTCATTCAGAGTTCTCAGCTCGGTCCTACTAAACTGGAGACAAGAAGCGGCACAAAAAGTGAGCTTGCCCCGGCCGGGATTCGATCTTAGGGCCGACAGTTTCGGGATTACTTGGAGAACATGTCTTTGGCATCTGCTTACACCTTGGTGTCGTCGGATAGCATGTCCTACCCGAACAAGGATCTTACTTGGCCAGTACCTCGTCACAGGGGCGGAGCGGGGTAAGTCAGACTCAATGCAAGATTCAGAGAGGGTGGGGGGTGGGCCTTCTAACAGGGGCGTATCAAGGGGGTGGAGAGGGCGGCGGAGTATCGAAAGTTGCCTACATCCTATCTTTAGGCGGCTATCTACTGGACCACAGGGGGGCGGTCGCCCCCCCCCCCCCTTTTAATACGCGCCTGACTTTTCAGGACATATATCGGAACGAGTGGAGGATGGGGAAACAAGTCATTCAGTGCGTGGTTTTATTTCGACATCTTTTTCAGTTCAGTTACGACAACGTTGTCAATTAAAAGACAACTTTGACGTTCAGTCACAGAATTGTCACCGTCATGCTGTCTGCTGAGGCGAGATTTGAGCAATCTTTGGGAATTCCCTCAGTCTTTTTGGATTGAAAGCGAAAGCACACTGGCGCCTTGCGGGTGCCGTGGAATCGCGCCACAAATTAAGCTGACTTTCGTTTAGACGCCGTCGGAAATGACTTGTTGGTCCTTGCTGCGAACTTCTGGGCTGTCCCCGGCCGGCGTTCTTTTGCATCTGAGAGAAGGTGAAGATAATGTTACTTTTCCAAAGTTACCGAGGGTACTCGCTTCAGGATGAGAGACTTACTCGTCTTTGTCTCTGTGTACGTCTTCCACAACTCTTGGAAGGGCATCTCGAAGGTCAGGCAGAGGACGACGGACACGGCTATGATGAAGGCGAACTCAGCAATGTTGAGCTGTCAACAAAGAAAAGGAATTGATCAATTCGCTATTGGGAAAATGTCTCGATGAAAGTCACACACGATGAAAAGGGTTTACCAGGCTTCCTAAGGTGTAGTACTGGGCGTGCCTGGTGGATCCCACGTTGTAGAAGAACACGGGGAACTGAGCCAGGTACAAGGCGAACGCTACTCGGGTGAACACGACCCAGCCGCGCCAGGACAGGACTTCGCCGAGAACACCTAGGAGTGTTGAAAAGAAGGAGGTCAAGTACAAGGGCGTTCAAATCCGCCGCACACTGTGAAAAATATTTTAAGGTTTTACGGGGAAATTTTACAAGAGAAATGTTGTTAAGTTACAATTTGAGCTGTCGTAAATTTACAAACATCGCTTGTAAATCGTTATTTAGATTTTTTTGGTAAATATACAAACATACTTTATATTGAAATGAAAGTTGATCGGCACTCACCGCCGGCGCCCCGCGCACACGCCAGCACGCCCCAGCAGACGAAGCCGCCCCACAGGATGGGCGCGAAGGCGGCGTACTGAGCGGCCTCGTGCGCGTCGTACTGGTAGCCGGGGGTGGCGGCCTCCCAGGGGCCGAACACGGGCAGCAGGCCCAGCGGCGCGGCCACCAGCCACCCGACGGCGGCCCACGCCCTGGAGAACTGGTAGGACTCTGGGACGCGGTGCAGGGCGTAGCCGAGCCCCAGGCCCATGATGTACACGGTGAGCCGGTGGGTGGGCAGGATGTAGGACATGCTGGCCGTCTTGAACATCTGCGAGACGCTGCAGGAGGGAGGATACTCTTTATTGGTCGGAAACAGGATTCACGAGAGACGGAACTAGTGTGAGGGCGAAGTAGAAGTAGTAAACTGACGGCATGCCGAAGTAGACTATGGTGGCGAGCTTGTTGTCCAGGACGACGCGGTGCCTGAGGGCGGTGGACCAGGCCGCCAGCAGGGCGAGCATGGCGGCGCCGGCGCGCGGCCAGCGCCACAGCGGGTACACGAGCAGCGGCGCGACGGCGAACAGCTGCATGTCGATGCCCAGCTGGTGGGTGTGGGTCAGGCACTGCAACAGACGCACCGCGTGAGAGACCCCTATTCGCGCACATTCGCGCCAGCCTCGTCGCTTTAGCACCGTGCCGCCAGCCTCGTCGCTTTAGCACCGTGCCGTACCATGTCCTCGAAGCCGTAGTAGTTGTGGATGTAGAGCACGTTCCTCCACCAGTGCTGGCGGCACAGCGCCGCGTGCGGCTCAACCACCAGGCCCCACATGGGCCCGCGGCCCAGGCCCGGCAGCACGAGCGTGCACAGCGCGACCAGCGCCAGCAGCAGCGGCGTCAACCTGCAGCAGCATCATGTTGGAGTCGACAGGTGCTCCCCCGCGGCCTGCCGGACTGACCCAGGGCCGGGAGGAAGCAAAGGTTCTTAGCAGTGTATGTAGACATCGGGAACTCAATATTCACGCCTCGCCCGAGCTGAGCTATACGCCACGCTCCACCAACACATGACGTGAACATTCCCCCGACGCTACATAGCAGGTTCCTTCCCGGTAGAGCATATGGTGCGAACTCTGCAGTGCGCGAGTACCTGACGTAGCGGTCGACCAGCCTGCGCACGATGGGAACGGCCTTGGTGCGGTCGAGCCGGCGCAGCAGGGCGCGCGCGGCCAGCACGCCGCTCAGCAGGATGAAGCAGTCCGTGTAGAGGATGGCGACGCGCCCGATGATGGACCAGGGCTGGCCCAGGACGGCGACGGCGGCCGTGCGGTTCACGTACGGCTGGTAGAGCAGCGCCACCGACTTGTGCGCCACGAGCAGGCCCAGGGCGTTGATCCCGCGCACCCCGTGCAGCACGGCCACGGCACTGCGGGGTATTCAGAGGTCAGTCATACTCTCTCTATTCTTGAAATTATTGTTTATCATCATTTATTGCTCCTCTCACCCTTCTTCTTGTCGGGTGTCGATCAGACGACGCCAGTTCTGTCGCGCGGAGAGACAGCGGACGAGCTGCAGGAGACTGGGTGGGCCTTCGCCGTCCAGGCAGACGATGTCCAGGAAGGTGGCGAACAGCACGGCAGCCACTGTCCACCATAGGGCGAGCCTGGTGCAAACACCTAACTGTACAGTACAAGCGCATAAAGAGGAACTCCACCCCATCTAAGAACGACGGTGCTTTGTGCCCGCTCCCCGGGAGCCAACCTGGCGATGCGAGCCCCAGTCCCATCCGGGGGCTCCTGGTGGTCCTGCGACCTGCACATCTCCGACGAGACGGAAGCACGGAAGCTGGCCCCTCCCAGGCCGTCCGAGGCTCCCGCCTGTTCATTGAGCAGGCTCTCGAGGGCGGCCTGCAGCTCGCCGGCCGTGCACGAGGACGGCGCGCACACGCCCAGGTACGCGGCGGAGAAGCGGGGGACTCGGTGACCGGGCTGTAGGACGGGGATGGGCGTACAGGCCATTAGCGCATGCGATAGAAGCCATAGACAAGGGGGGGGGGGCACGGAGCCAACGACTTATCATCTGGAAGACCAGAGCGTCTGTTAACCCCGTGAACCGTAAGCAGGACTAGTGGGGACGGGCTCCCCTGCGGGAGCCCCGTGCGCTTAGGCAACCGCCCCGCACGCCTGCCCTGCGGTACAGTGGGGCCCAGGCGCCCCTACTCCCCCCGACCCCGGTATCTGAACAGGGCTGCCTATTGTGTTTCAATTTCCAGGCACGCTGTCTCACGTCGCTGAAGTTGCTGTTGAACGGAGTGAACGAGTGCAGCAGGGCGCTGATTTGCCGGGCCGCAGGATGTGCTTCCTCGCCGAGGTCCAGCGCCACGGCCGCCAGGCAGTAGGACGCCTTCGTGGGCACGGGCGGACAGTTGGCGTCCTGGACAAGAACCCAGATCAATAGCAAGCGTACAACTTTTGTAAGGACTTACAGCGATACGCAGACTTTTACCCTCAGTTCCCAGTTGCGTTCCTCCCATTTCCCATTCCCTAAACACATTGAATATTCAGGTCAGTTGTTACCTCATCGCCATCCTGTGTGGACTCGGCGTGCAGCGTGAGGCACTCGTCAAAGTCGCCCAGCTGATTCACATTCCCGCTGAGGAGACCGGCTGGGACACGTGCGTTAGCGTCAACCCCTAAGTTCCGGGAAATCAGAAAAAAGTTTCGTGAACGTTTTCGCTTTCGTTAAAATGAACGTTTCTGGGCGTATGGCGAAAAACGGAAACGAAAACTTCTGGACTTCTGGACAATGGACATCGTTATTCGAACCTTGCCAACAGTTTTCGTTCATCACCCCTTTTCCCACTTTTCTTAGACTGCCATACATTATCTAATGTTGAGCACAGTGCTACACATTACCCCTAATCCGGAGCACCCCGTGCTTTCAATCATTAACAAAATAATGCAAAGTGCGCCCCACATAACTTGCGTAGCACTGTATGGTTGGATCAGGGAGCACCATAAAATAAGGTTCAGACAACAATAACAACGTGATGGAAACCATATTTTTGGTTTACACAAACACGACAATGTTGCATCAACCATATTTTATGGTGCTCCTTGAGTTAACCGTATGATATATGGTCGCTACAGTTAGTCATTTCTCTGGCCAGCCAGATCCAGCCCGCACTCGTGCGTGCGGTGCAGCATAACTACCGAAGTGAAGAGACCAGCCACCTGGTGCATTAGCGTAACAGTCTCCAGTTAACAGTCCAGACTCGGCTGCACGTATTGACTTACATTTGAGCGCCCAGACGTGGCCGAGGAGGGCGGCCCTGACGATGTTGCTCGCCTGCCGGCTGCACTGGCAGCTCGCGTTCACGGCTGGGAGCGCCGCAGACAGCTGGTAGAAGAGGCTGCCCTGGACCGCGGGGTGCACGAGGCGCTGTACTGGATGGAGAGAGAGAGGGAGAGGGGAAGTCCGTGGGTGGGAGTGGGAAGGCGTACCGCTCTGCAAGTAAAGTACGAAAGGAAGGGGTATATGACTTACGCTGCGGTGAGCTGCTCGGTGGCGCCACCGCGCCGACGGACCAAACGGCCAGGGCAAGGAGCAGCAGCTGACCCGCCCGCCACGGCGCCATGGCACAGGACACCTAAAAGTGAGTGTGAAGAGTCCCAGAAAGAGGAGCATCATTCGGGGTGTTCATTGTCAGGCACCCTTCAGGTGCAGCATTTGTCACGCATGACATGGAATATCCAAGACCAGAGGTTTAGTGAGACCTGCGGTTAATAAGTGAAGAGGAAGGTGCTTCAGTGGTCTCTGGTCTCCCTCCCTCCTTCCGCCCCCCTCCCCCACTAACTCACACATCCGACGTGCTGGTGTTGACCCCGTCATGTTGCGACAGGACGCTTGCCTTGGTGGCGGTGCGCGTGCGGCGTGGCTAGGCGTGGCGCAGAGGGCATAATCTGGCACCTTGCCGCACGCTGCCTAGTCCCTACCCCCACCCCATAGTTTTTTTTCATTTAGAAAAGCAGAAAAGCACGTTTTTTTCCTCAGGATAACGACACGTTGGTGACATTGGTAGATATTAGCAATACGCGGACAGTTTACCCCGTCCCATTTTAACCGCTTATTTACCTCCTACTTCTCTATTGGAAGTGGAATAACGATAGTATTGTGCTTGGTTAAAAGCCACCTTTAGCCCAACTACAACACCTACAGTTCTGCCAATGCTACCAATTTGCAGCTTGTGAAGAGTAAATGAATCTACAAAAGGTTTTTTTTGGGTGAGCTATTGATGCACAAAATTTAAAGAAATTGCGGAAATGAAGTCGTTTAAAACTATGAATCACGACTTCACTATCGACCTTTACCTCTTGCAAATCACAGCACTACACCGCTCGGCAGATTCGCGTGGGGTCGCGAACGACAGTGGCGGGTAGGGAAGTCCTCTCTCGGCGGTCCAGCTCGCGGGCAGCATGCGCCAGCCCGAGCGTCCAGCGGCGGTGCGTGGCGAAGACCGACTGGGCTCCGCGACGCTACGCTACGCCGTGCCGGCCTTGACCAACTCGGCCGGCCAGGTTCAGGAGGCCCGGTACGGCGCGCGGTGGGGAGGGCCGGCCCGCCACGCCGGGCTCATGTTGGGTTTCGCTGGAGTGAATGTGTTATTGGCTGGAGATGATAATGTGTGTTGCGATCGACGGGAGGCGCGAGAAGAAAGCAAAGAACGCTCTCAGAATCTCATGGCGAATCTGCGTGATCCTTCTGTCCTTCCTGGTCACTTCAGAGAGAGTGATATCAGCCTCGATCGATGCAATCGATGAGAGAGCTACACTCGGCTACAGGTCCCTTCTTTCTGGCCTAAGAGCTGATGGAATCACCCGCAAACTGGGTGGGCAACAAAGCCCGTGTATGACTTCCTACCCCAAGTACCGACTGAACAGGGACCCCTGATGGGGTCATTATCAGTTATCTTGTAGCAGGAGTCACGGATAGCGAGCACTAGTCAGTGCGAGAGAGACAGACTTATAAGTGACCCAGAAGAGTGAGAGAGCGCGAATGACAACAAAGTGGCCCGCGGCCCGCTTAGCCGGGACCCGGGACCCCTGTCTTGTGGCCTCGCGCAGCGGCAGGGTGGTGCTGCCAGAGCTTCCGATAAGGGCAGTAAGGGGTAGTCAAAATGAAAGCAAGTGAGACGTACGAGCACAAAATTAAATTTCTTAAGGAATTTTCTCGACCTTTAACTCAAATAAATTATCGAATCATCGTCGTTACTGGGTTGGATCATCCAATAAGCGTGTTTGTCTGTCATTCTGTCATCTATCGTTACACAATCGCCAAGTTCAAGTTAGCCAATGCAAGGTAAGGTCTCATAGCGCCTTACAGGTATGCAACATCTTGCCTGGAGTGCTCACGTGTACTGCAGGGTGGCCTACCCCAAGTTCCACAGGCGCCAAG